CGCCGTTCCACTTTTCAACGTCTACTCCGACATGCGCATTAAAATCGCCCATGAATATGAGGGGCTCCGTTTTCGGCCTTTCGGACAGAGCACACTGCACTTCCTCAGGAAGGTCTGATATTCTCCGTCCAGATTGCGCGCATAGGCCTGTACTAAGGTCAACGCTTTAGCCTGTTGTCCCTTTAGTCGGAGAATTACCACCCTTCCGCTGATAGGCTTCCAATCGGTTACTCTATTGGCAAGGTTGGGTTCTACCAGAACGCCAACACCGGCCTGAGTGCGAGTCGCGATCGACGCCTGTGTTGAATAGCTCCCGTCCGTTGATGTTCAGGAGTCCACAGCCTTGGCGTTTCGTTGACGAGAATGCAGCGATGTCGAGTTGGTTCTTAATGGCCTCATCAACTAACTCTGTTCTTTCGCTCTAATTGATGATATGTTCCAATTTCCGACTTTTAGTACCCACTGGTGATGCTGTTCGCTTTGTCCCTTTCCTGACGTGCTATAGTGCCATCGCGCTGTCTGCCTCCTCCGTTCAGAGCCTGTGGCTACTCCTTTGCTGACTGGTGTCTTCGTCGTCGTTTCGTCGGTCTTCTTCAGCCGTCGTTGTGCTGCCACGTCCCCGGCTGGCAGAGGGCGATGAGCAGGTTCTGATCGTTCACTTTTCGCAATCTGCCTCAGTCCCCCAACAGCCTACGCGACCTTTGGTAACCCGGTCAACGACCGAGCGGGTATGATTTTCAATGGCATCAATATCATGAGTGTCATATGGCTAAATTTTATGGAGACTTGCCACATTCTCCAACCCTCCTCCTTTCTCAACCGGGTTTGGAACCGGCAATGGCGGAGTTATGGCAGCTATTAAAGATAGAAATTAGCTGTTATCTTGGATGGGGAGTGGCATCCTTTCCGGAGGTGTTTCTGATTTTCATAGGTTTGTTTTGTACTTTCCCAGGGGAATGTATGCTAATGTACAGGCTTGCCAAGCATCTTGTTTTCTGACATCATTCTTGAAGCGCAGGAAAAACATCGCAACGTCCTTGACTTTTCCCATTTCAGTTTTTTTCAACTCCTTTCGCTTTTTGACGGAACAAAGACAAATGAAAATGAAAGGCTGTGATAATGCATTACAGTTGTACATGCACCACTCGCTTGATGCTGAATATCCGCAAACATAGGCGAATTTGCATTATCTGTGCCAACGATTACATCCGGGCTAATCTATGACGGTTCGCGTTCCGCCGGAGACGAAGTGTGAGGGCAACAAAAGCAATTCCAGGCTTTGGATTTGATTCTGTTAGATAAAACGATGTCATTGCGTTCCACTATTAGCTTCTTCCTGCTGTGCTTGGTACGAGCCCTTGCGATTTCTGTACTGCTGTCAGCTTTGCACTGAAGCAGTAGTTTCGTTTCTCGTAGAGCAATTTCGGATGAAATGTTTCGTGGAGCCCTTTCGCGTTGTAAGCTTTGACAACGGATAAACTGAGGTCTACAAAACGATTGTTTTAATGTGGCATTGACGCAGCGTGATTGCATCGAATTAATATGGGCTTGCTGATGTGTTCCTCGTTCGTGACTTGTAGCATAGGCAAGGTAGATGCACATGCAACCTTTATGTATGCTTATATTGATATATACGGGCACACGTTAGAATTATATCGCCGGGTGCTGCTTGACATTGTGCTGATAATCCTTTGGTCGCTAAGTATTGCTTGATTCAGCTTTTACGAATGTAGGTTTCGTTGAAGCTCCACGGAATGAATGACATGTTGCCGGCGTAATTACTTCCGGTATTTGCATAACATTTGAACCTCACGGTGGACACACTACACGATCAATAATTATTAGTCAGTTAAATGTAGATAAATCATGCGCCTAGGCGTTATATTGATGGAAAATCAAATGCATGGATAATTTTCTCTTGGATCCCCACAAAATTCAATGAGTACACTGCCATGCGTACTTGCTTTAACACACGTAGCGCCGCAAAGAATGGATTTGTTTAACATGCTTTGTACTTCTCTAAACGCATATTAATATTCACCGGTGCAGAACTATTAAGTTTCCCGATCTAGTAGTAGCAACTAAAAAACTCATGCCCGTTTTGTAATTAAGTCGCTGTTAAGTTTCGGTCCATTTTGGCTAAAAGATTCTACCGCATTATGGCAAGCCTTTAATTTCATTCTTTTGAAGAACGACTTTGCTATTCTGAACATGTTTTAGAAACTCTTCTGATCATTACAGAGTAAATTACGATCGTTTCAAATATCATTGTCCCCTGCATGGCGAAAATTACCGCGATGGCAAATGTCCGCTGGGTACAGTTTGCCTCCCGTCTGATTTAAGTAGATTGAATGCACAAGTGAGGCATAAGAAGTCAACAATGAATCACTTTGCATTCCTGCTTACGGTTGCTAAAACTTATGAAGATGTTCTTCTAGTCACTGTCCGAAAGTTTCATGGCGTAAATTTTAATAATTTAAATATGTATCCATAAACCACAAAATTAGGTGCTCCGGAGCTGGGACTTTTTTTTCAAAACTCAAATATTGCACAACGTGAGATCAGAGAACGCTACCTCTGCGTAATTGAATATTCTTGAATAATATGAACCTGAACCTGTACATACCTCCGTTACTGTAAAACCATTGAAAGCGATCTTTCAAATCATTGCTTATTCAGAAATCC